CACACTGGCTTCTGCAGACTTGAGTTTTACTTCCCTCATTCATCTCTGAAAGTATTTCTTCAACAAGCATTCAGCAACCAACAGTGAGAACTTCAGGGGATAGAAGTTTCTGAGACAGCACTACTGGAGGAAGCCAACTGGATTCAAAAGCCGATATGAGACCTCCCGGGCTCAAACCATCTGCTCGGATCCATCCCTTGTTCTAGCTAGATGGTCATTTGGGAAAAACCTGTGCTCTGAAATTCTCTAATTCTAGAGGCGCCTGGAATCGATCAGGAAGAAGCATTTTATCTCACCCCCCTCCCCTGCCCCATGGGTACTAGGAAGCTCTGTGACCCTTCCTTGACCCATGATCCTGGAAGATTCCTGATCTCATTTGCTGCTTAAAACCCCCCAACAGTTGGGCTCCCTGAAAAGTCCCTAAGAATGACAACAAACACAGCTCTCAAATTTTGTAGGACAGCACGAAGTTAATTTAATTTCCATCAAAAGTTGATCATTAAATGTGTATAGCAATGTCTGAATTGTTATCTCTTCATAAGAATTTTGGCTTTAAATTCTTTCAACAGCCAGGCTGGTGTGGCTCAGTGGTTGAGAGTTGACCTATGAACCAGGAGGTCACAGTTCCATTCCCAGACAGGGAATATGCCCATGTTGCGGGCTCAACCCCCAATGTGGGGTGTGCAGGAGGCAGTGGATCAATGATTCTCTCTCATTATTGATGTTTCTATCTCTTCCTCCCCCTTCCTCTCTGAAATCAATCAATAAATCAATAAAATTTTAAACAACTTTATTAAGGTATGATTTACATATCATAATATTCACTCACTGTAAGTGTACAACGATCTTTTTTATTTTAGTAAGTTTATAGTTGTGCATCCATCACTATGATCCAGTTTGGGAGCCTTTCCATCATCCCAGAAAGTTTCTCTATGCTCCTTTGCAGTTAGTTAATCACCACTCCCACCTCAGCCTCTGATTTCTGTCTCCATTAATATTCCTTTTCTGACTATTTCGTGTACATTGACTTATACAGTAGGCAGTATTATGTGTCTGGCTTCTTTCACTTTGCATCATGGTTTTGACATTCATCTATGTTGTACAACATATCAGAGGTCCATTCCATTGTTGCTATATAGTATTCCAGTGTATGGATATACCACATTTGTTTATCCATGTACCACCAGTTAATCAAAATCCTGGTTATCTTTTATTGGGGCTCTACTGAATGGTGGTGCTAAGAACATTCACATACATGTTGGATAGATTCTTAGGAGTAGAACTGCTGTGTTGAGTGATACGTTTTTAACATTTTAAGAAATACCAAATTGTTATCTTGTATTACCACCAGCAAAGTAGGAGGGTTTCAGTACTTACACATCCTTGCCAATATTTGTTGTTGTCTTTTTTAATTATATGTCTTCTGGTAGGTGTATAGTGATATCTCATTGTGAATTTATTTTGCACTTCTCTAATAACAAATGATGTTGAGTATATTTTCATATGCTTATTAGCCATTCATTTATCTTCTCTAATGTCTACTTAAATAATTTGTCCATTTTTTTCTTCGAGTTGGGTTGTTTGCCTTCTTATTATTGAGTTGAAGAGTGCTTTGTATGTTCTGCATACCAGTCTTTTATTAGATACAGGATTTACAAAATTTTATATCAGTCTTTGGCTTGATTTGTCATTTTATTGGTGGTGACTTTTGAAGCAAAAGAGTTTTGATTTTTTTAAACAAATGAGATGGTAAATGACATTTATTTTGAGCAATATAGAGAAATTCCCACAAGACACAGATGTCCTCTCACCATTTGAGAGAAAATGAAACTCACTATGTGAGAAGATGGAAAACCTTAATTAAATAAGGCAGCCTAGTAATGGAAAGCACACTGAGGCATTTGGGGGAAAACAATTCCATCTGTAACATTTCTTCACCGAGACTGTGGGTTCAGAATTGAATGAAGGCATTATCATGCTTTTGGATGACACAACAGTGGATAAAATAACAGAACAGAATAAAATGTTCCTTCCATGATTGGCAGGCTTTGCCTGTGAGGATTACAGAGGGGAGATGCCTGACTATCTTATGCCTAAATTACTTGGAACCATTGTCAAGGAGGCGTCACACCCGGTCTCCTATGCATCTGGCCCATGTGTCTGAAGCCAGTGTTCTGTGAATTCTTTATCCTGACTCAGCCAGAGCGAGCCAACAGAGCTCACTGTCTGTGTGGCTTGATCTAGAGACTGATGGGCTTTTCCCTGGCATGCAGTGGAGCAATATGGGTGTTGAGTGCCCCCAGGTATGTGAAGCTCCTTCCACACTCATCACAAGCAAAAGGCCTCTCCCCTCTGTGATGGTGCAGATGGGTCTTCAAACTTCTCTTCTGGAGGAAGCCTTTGCCGCATTCGGGATACCTGAAGGGCTTCTGTCCTCTTTGCGTTTACAAATGGACCTTCAAACTCCCTGGAACGCAGTAGCTCTTGTCACACGCTGGACCACAGTGAACTCGAATGTGGTCTGTGAGCCTGTACTGCAGCCGAGTGAAACTTTTGCTACACTTAACACAAGAGAATGGGGTTTGGCCACTGTGTTGGAGCAGGTGGCTTTTCAAATGTCCTTTGAGACGGAAACTCTTATTGCACTCGGGATGCTGGAAGGGCTTCCCCCAGGGGAATTCTCGCGTGCTCAGTGAGCTGAGACTGCTGAGTAAAGGCCTTACTGCACTCGCTACAGGGGAAGGACTTCTCGCCCCTGTGCTTCCGCTGGTGGAACTTCATGGAGGCCTTCCAGGAAAAGCTCTTGCCACACTCGGGACACTGGAAAGGATCCTCCTCACTGAGAAGCCACCTGTGCTCAGTGAGGTGTGAGCGTCTGCGGAAGCTCTGGTTGCACTCAGCACGGAAGAATGGCTTTTCCTTGGTGTGGACCCTGAGGTGCTCCGTGGGCCTTGACTGCCGAGGAAAGGTCTTTTTGCACTCGGCACAAGAGAATTCCTTTTGCTTGCTGTGGACTCGGCTGAGGCGAGTGAGCTTGGAGGGCCGGGTAAACCTCTTGCCACACTGTGCACAGGAGAATGGCTTCTCCTCGCTATGGAGACGCTGGTGGGCCTTCATGGCGTTCTTCCAGGAGAAGGTCCTCCCACACTCTGGACACGGGAAGGGCTTCTCCCCGCTGTGCTGACAGATGGGCTTTTAGGCTTCTCTTTAGGTGGAACGCGTTCTTACACTGAGGACACTCAAAGGGCTCTCTCCAGTATGAACTCTGACATGCTCAGTGAGTCTAGCCCTGTGGGGGAATTTCCTATCACACTGATCTCAGGAAATCAGCTTCTCCCCACTGTGTAAACACCTGGTGGGCCTTCACAGCTGCCTTCCTTCCGGGAAAAGCTCCGGCCGCACTCCGGACAATGGAAGGCCTTCTCCCCACTGTGCAGGCGAAGACGGGCCTTCAAACTTCTCTGCAGGCGGAAGCTTCGGTCACACTGTGGACACTGGAAAGCCTTCTCCCCAGTGTGCACCCTGACGTGCTCAGTGAGCTTGGACTGCTGGGTGAGACCCTTGCCACACTCCTGGCAGGAAAATGGTCTCTGACCTTTGTGCAAACACTGATGCTTCTTCAAAGTGGCTTTACCCCAGAAGGTCCTCTCACATTCAGGGCACCGGAAGGGCCGCTGCCCCGTGGGAATGACCTGGTGCGCAATCAGGCTGCACTTCGTGCGGTAGCTCTTCTCGCACTCACCACATTGGAAACGCTGCTTCTTACACAGGACCATCCGCTCCACCTGAGGTGAGAGCTCCTTCTGCTCTTGTACTTGGGATATGTAGAGGGCTGGCCCTTGGAGTGGCTCCTTCTGAGCTTTACCAAGTCTTTCTTTTTGTGGCTCAGTGAGCTTGGACTGCTGGGTGAGACCCTTGCCACACTCCTGGCAGGAAAATGGTCTCTGACCTTTGTGCAAACACTGATGCTTCTTCAAAGTGGCTTTATCCCGGAAGGTCCTCTCACATTCAGGGCACCGGAAGGGCCACTGCCCCGTGTGAATGACCTGGTGTGCCATCAGGCTGCACTTCGTGCGGTAGCTCTTCTCGCACTCACCACATTGGAAACGCTGCTTCTTACACAGGACCATCCGCTCCATCTGAGGTGAGAGCTCCTTCTGCTCTTGTACTTGGGATATGTAGAGGGCTGGCCCTTGGAGTGGCTCCTTCTGAGCTTTACCAAGTCTTTCTTTTTGTGGAAAACGAAGCAGGAATAAAAGCTCGGCCCTGATGGAACTTCCAGGTGACCTGGGGGACCCATAGCCTTATGCCATAGATCATTCTCATCCTGATTAGATGCTGTGATGTTGACATTTTTATGCAGAATCTCTCTTTCTTGGAGATCTTGTAAGGCAGCTCTTTGATCTGATAAAATCTTATTTTCCTCCCCTGGTAAGGTAGCATGGGAGCCTGCTTTTGGAAACGATTTAAATGGCACTCCTCCTCTTTTGCCCTGATTCAGTTTACCAATTTAAATGGATTATACTTTTGGTATTGTATCTAAAAACTTTTGCCTAACTGAAGGTCATGAAGACTTTTTTTTCTATGTTTCTTTAGGAAGTTTTGTAGGTTTAGCTTTAACATTTAGGTCTATGGATCATTGTGAGTTCATTTTTGTGCATAGTGTGAGTCGAGGGTCTATGTTAATATTTTTGTTTTGTTTTGTTAATCCTTTTCCATTGATTTTTGGAGAGAATGGAAGGGAAGAAGGGACAGAGGTGAAGGAGAAAGAGAGGGAGAAAGTGTGTGTGTGTGTGTGTGTGTGTGTGTGTGTGTGTGAGAGAGAGAGAGAGAGAGAGAGAGAGAGAGAGAGAGA